AATAAAAAAAAAAAAAAAAAAAAAAAAAAACAACTAAATATGGTGACTGCCTGCTAACATGGAAGACTTGAATAAGATCAAGAGTCTCCTAACAAAATTTCCAAAATGTCCAAGATAGAATTTAAAATCACTAGTCATACCAAGAACTAGTAAGATCACAACTTGAATGATAAAAAAACATCAACTGACACAATACTAAGATGAATCAGTTATTGGCGCTATCTAACAAAGACATAATGAAGCTTCAACAAGTAATTACAAATTCCCTTGCAAAAAAATGAAAAAGTAGAAAAGCCAGCAAAGAAATATTCTATATATATTTGAAAAAGAAATGGAAAACATCTAACTGAAAAATACAATAAGAGAAAATTTTTAAAAATTGCTGTATGGACTCAATAGCAGAGTAGAAAAGATAGGAGATAGAATCGATGAACTTGAGAGACAATAGAATTGTCTCAATTTGAACAACAAAAAGAAAATAGACTAAAAAAATACGGTATCAGGATCTGTGGGACAACAAACAAACAAAAAATCAAATATGAGTATTTATATCATCAGGGTCTCAGAAGCAGAGGAGAGATGTGGGACTGATAGATTACTCAAAAGATAGTAGCTAAAAACTCTAAATTTGGTGAAAGACAATCCTATAGATTCAAGAAGCTGAGTGAATTCAAATAGAATAAACACACAAAAAAACTTTTCCAAGGCATACAATTAGATTTTTGAATACTAAAAACAAAGGAAAAATCTCACAAACAACCAGAGAGAAGCAATGTATAACCTACTAGGAAATACCAATTCAAACAACAGCAAATTTCTCTGTTGAAAAGACACAGAAATTAGTACAATATATTTCACATGGCAATAAAAAATAAATAAATAAATACATAAATAAATAGATAGATAGATAGATAAATAAATAAATAAATAAATAAATAAATAAATAAAATAACTGCTAACTCTATATTTGGCAAAACTATCCTTCAGGCACAAAAAAAAAAAAAAAAAAAAAGGCATTCTGAGACAAATAAAAACTAAGAGAATCTGTCACAGCAAACCCAACTTTAAATAATGGCTAGAGGAAGCTCTCCAAACAGAAAAGAAGTGATGTGATAACAGAAAAATGTGTAGAACTACAGAACAGAAAAAAGAAAAGCATAATAAATAAAAATAGGGATATTATCCTTCTTCTCATGAGTTTTTAATATCATATTTGATAGTTGAGGCAAAAATGAAAATATTAAAAGAAATTGACACAGAAATTGATTAAAAGAAAAAGAGCCAACTTTATACTGCCTACAAGTAACTCATTTCAAACACAAGAACATAGGTAATAGAAAAAGAGAAGGATAGAAAATGTCATATCATGCTAACACTAATCAAAAACAAGCATAAGTGGCTATAAAGAAAAAAAATCCAGGAAACCAAAAGTTTTTTTAAAAATCACTAAAATTGATAAACCTCTACCAAGATGGACAAGAAAAAAGACACAAATCACAAATATCATGAAAAAAACAGGGTATATCACTACAGATTCTGCACCCATTAAAAGGATAATAGCTAAAAACAGTGAACAACTTTACATTCAGAAATTCAACTTAGAAAAAATGGACCAATTACTTAAAACCACAGACTATAAATATTTTATCAGGATAAAACTGATTATCCAAAAACCTTATAACCATTAAAGGAACTTAATTTTGTAATTTAAAAGCTCCCCCCAAATAAATTTCCAGGCCTAGATGGCTTCATTGGAAAATTTTACCAAGCTTTAAAAAGAAATTAACACCAATTTTATGCAATATACTCTAGAAAACAGAAGACATATGAACACTTCTCAATTTATTTTATGAGGCTGGCATAACCTTGATACCAAAACAAAAGTTAATACAAGAAAAGAAAAGAAAAGAAAAGAAAAGAAAAGAAAAGAAAAGAAAAGAAAAGAAAAGAAAAGAAAAGAAAAGAAAAGAAAAGAAAAGAAAAGAAAAGAAAAGAAAAGAAAAGAAAAGAAAAGAAAAGAAAAGAAAAGAAAAGAAAAGAAAAGAAAAGAAAAGAAAAGAAAAGAAAAGAAAAGAAAAGAAAAGAAAAGAAAAGAAAAGAAAAGAAAAGAAAAGAAAAGAAAAGAAAAGAAAAGAAAAGAAAAGAAAAGAAAAGAAAGAGAGAGAGAGAGAGAGAGAGCGAGAGAGAGAGAGAGAGAGAGAGAAAGAGAAAGAAAGAAAGAAAGAAAGAAATGTGTCTGCAGATCAATAACTCTCTTTAAATTAGAGGCAAAAATGTCAACAAAATGCTAGAAAACCAATTTTGGCAAAATATAAGAAAGATTATGCTCCATGACAAAAATGAAAATTATCCCAGGAATATAAGGTTTGTTTAACATTTAAAAGTCAGTTAATGTAATATACCATATCAATAGGATAAAGGACACAACCACATGATTTTCTCAATAGATGCAGAAAAAGCATTTGACAAATTTAACATCACTTCTTGACAAAATTACTCAAAAGCTAGGAATAAAAAGAATCTTGCTTAACCTGATAAAAAGAATATATGAAAAACTCACAGCTAACATCTTACCTAATGGCATATCTGATGATTAATTTTGTGTCAACTTGACTGGGCCATAGGATATTCCAAAACTTGGTTAAACATTATTTCTGGGTGGGTCTGTGAGGGTAATTCTGGAAGAGATTAATTGGAAATTTGAATTAGAAAACAGAGTAAAGCAGATGGACTTCTTGTATGTGGGTGCACATTATCCAATCTGTAAAAAGCCTGAATAGAACAAAAAGGTAGACAAAGGTTGGGTTGGGTTCACTCTCCCTCACCTAACTGAGTTGGGATATTGCTGTTCTCTTACCCTTGGCATTCGCAAGTCTCAGACCTTCAGACTCAGACTGGAATCTACACTACTGGCTCTCTGGCTCTCAGGCCTTTGAAGTAAACCACAGGCTTTCCTGGGTCTCCAGCTTGCAGACTGCAGATTGTGGAACTTTTCAGCCTTCATGATCATGTAAGCTAGTGCCTTATAATAAATCTCATTATATATATGTATATATTAAATATATAATTAACATACTATATATTTAAATGGTATACATAGAAATAACATACAAATATTAAACAAATATAGTATTATGTATAATAAATATAATATATAATAAACACAATAAGTATAATCTAAATAAATACACAAATATATGATAATGCTGTAGTCTAAATGTTTGTCCCCCCCAAAACTCATGTGAAAGCTTGATTCACAATGTGGCAGTGTTGAAAGGTGGGGCCTTTGGGAGGTGATTGAATTGTGAGGGTTACAACCTCATGAATGGATTAACCCATTCATGGATTTATGGGTCAATGATTTAATAGGCTTTTAGAAAGTAGACTGGGGGCTTTATAAGGACAGAAAGAAAGAATATCAAAATGCTCTTGCTCAGCCCTTTCTGTGTGATACCCTGCATTGCCTTGGAATTCTGTAGAGCCCCCACCAAGAAGGCCCTCACTAGATGTGCCTGGACCTTGGACTTTCCAGCCTCCAAAACTCTAAGAAATAAATTTTGTTTTTTATAAATTACCCAGTTTTAGGTATTCTGTTATAAAGCAACAGAAAACGGACTCATATAGATAATATATATCAATATCTATAGAAGATTTATGTGCATATTTCCTATTGGTTCTGTTTCCCTTGAGAACCCTAATAAGGTAAAAGATTGAATGCTTTCCCCCCGAGATTAGGAACAAGGCAAGAAAGTATCTTTCACCACTCTTATCAAACACAGTACTGGAAGTTCAAGCCATTGGAATAAGGCAAGGAAAAGAAATAAAAGCCTTTCAGTTTGAAAAGGAAGAACTAAAACCTTCCATATTTGCTGATTCCATTTATATCATAGTTTTGAAATGACAAAAGCATAGCAATTAAGAATAGATTAGTGGTGGCCAAGGGCTAAGGATGGGGGTAAGTGGGAAAGTCATGTGTGGTTTTAAACATGTAACAGGAGGAATCCTTGTAGAGATGGAACTGTGTCATATCCTGACTGTGGTAGTGGATACATGAAATCGCATATGTGATAAAATGCACAGAGCTAAATACACACATGAACACAACTAAGTACAAATAAAATTGGAGAAATCTGAAAAAAATCAGTAGATTACATCAATGTGGGTATTTTGGTTGTGATATTGTACTATAATTTTGCAAGATACTATTATGAGAAAAACAAGCTAAGAGGTACACAGAATCTCTCTGCATATTTTTTTTTTTGCAACTGCATGTGAATTTATGACCTCCAATAAAGTTTTTTTCAAAAACACATCTAATGCCATAGTCATTTTTCTTTCATAACCCAAAATTGCCAGATCTGGGGACATATTATGGCTTGAACTATTTGAGATGGTTCAAATCACTTCCTTATGTCAATTACATCTATTGGGTCAAGTATAATAACAGTGTTATCATTGTGAATGCAGTTAATGAAATAGAGCCAAAATTTGACTGTGCTGACAAGACTGAAATAAACTTCAGTCAGAATAGTGCAGTTCTTTTGAGAAAATAATCTATTCAAACCCATGCAATAAAGTCCAAAATAAGATATGCTACCAGCAAGTTTGGGTTATAAAAGAGAACTGATGAAAGATAAACTAGAATTGATAAAAATTTCTAGGGCCGTCCAAAAGTAAGGACTATTTTGTTGGTTATAAAGCCACTGAGACTTCTCCTTCCCCACTTCCAATTCACAAAGAAAACCAAAGTTGCTTTTGTGATGAGAGTGATCACTCCAAAACTATCGGTCATCTTTCTTTAATATTAACAGACATCTTCCAGAAAAAGCCAAGAATTACATATTTATGTGATTGCAGTCAACTTTCATGTAAAAGGATCCAAAGACCATTGCTCAAATAGATTCTCACACAAACTCAGGGACTGAAAAAGGCATACGTTTGGTTTCGACATCTAGTGGTGGCTTTCCATGTACTCCAATGATATCTCCACGGGTTTCATGTGCAGTCATAGGCAGGTGAAAGTGCCTGCTGTATAGTGATGCCTGGCTTTGATTCAGTTAATGAGGAGACTTTTACATGCAATTGTTTATGTGTTTTCACGTCAGAGTCTTTAGATCATATGCTGTGAATGAAGACTGGAATTTATAGTGAACTTGGACTTACTCTAATAACTATTTCATTACAGAGAGCTGAATTTTATGTATAATTGTTTCCTACATTTTAAAATAGAATTATTCTTTGTTCAGACTTTAAATTATTTCTATATGAAATTTTTTATAGGTCTAACTTTAAACAAAATAAAAATGCCATTGCATTTTATTTTCTGATAGGATCCCTAAGTAATTTTCATCCAATAGGTCATTGATCCTTTATTAGAAAAACTGTTATTTTCACCTTTTAGCATACACATTTCCAGAAAATCAATTTCTATTTGAATTTAATTGAATGAGAACTAAATACAGGACCCTTCATTTTAAAATATCTTTACTATATTCTGGATATGACACATGAACGACTTTTTTTTAAATCTAAAATCACACAAATGTCTTTTTTTTTTAAATACCATAGATTTTACTCTCCTGAAAATTTGCTTTGTTAGGAATATATAGCATAAAAAAACCCCAAATGCCATTAAGGGTTTTAAGCTGTCAACTGAATTCTGCACACCACATTTATTCTGTTCCCATTTGCTACCAAGGAAAAGTGCAAAGTCAAACATGTTCTTACAAAAAGCACTATAAGCTGCATGTAAATGAGACCACTTTTCCTAAGGGTCTATCTTCAATTTGATAGTGCATTTAAGTGCTTGCTTTCACTTAGAATAGACTGAAATACACAAATAGAAATTGAGAGCAGTGAAAATGCCATTTATCCAAGATTTTCCCCAGGAATAAAAGAATCAAAACAGATTATGCTGTCTCTTTAAAGCATCTACTTGATTAATTAACCAATTTCTTTCTATCAAGAAATACAAATATTAAATGTAGAAACAAATGCTGCAGCCAATAAGTGACCAAAAGAAAATACTAATCTGGCAATTTTATTGAATACTATTGCTTCTAAGTGATTCACTGTCTTTCTTCTTATTGTTTTTTTGTTCCTATTTAATTTTCATTTTAACATTTACTTGTACATATTTGCGGGGTACAATGTGTTGTTTCAATGCATGCATATACTGCACAATGATTCACCAAAGTAGAAAGCATAGTTTTGTACCTGTTAGTCCACTACTTCTCTCCATCATTCCCCTCCCTTCCTGGCTTCTGGTAACCATTATTCTACTCTACCTATGAGAACCAATTTTCTTTTTATTTTTGGTTTTGTTGTTGTTGTTGTTGTTTTATTTTTAGATTCCACATATGAGTGAGATCATGCAGTATTTGTCTTTCTGTGCCTGGCTTACTTTACTTTACATGATACTTTCCAGTTCCATCCATGTTGCTGCAAACTATAGGATTTCATCTTTTTATATAGCAGAATAGTATTTCATTGTGCATATATACCACAGTATTTTTTAATGCGTTAATCCACTGATAAGCATCTAGGTTGATTCTATCTTTTGGCTACTGTGAATAGCATGACTCAATGACTTTCTTTTCTTATTTTTTTTCTCTCTTGGTCCAAATGCCATACTGATAGCTGCAGATGGTTGCAGCTTATCGCTATGACTACTTATCATAAATCTGCCATTTGCCAAATGATAGAAGCTTTGTAGACATGTATGCCTGTTAATTCAGATCTAAAATTTCCAACCATTTTTCCTTCTTCTCTTCATGGATTATAGTCACATCCTAGGATTGTATTAGTTTTTATGGCTATAAATCTGCCATTTGCCAAATGATAGAAGCTTTGTAGACATGTATGCCTGTTAATTCAGATTTAAAATTTCCAACCATTTTTCCTTCTTCTCTTCATGGATTATAGTCACATCCTAGGATTGTATTAGTTTTTATGGCCGGTTTTATCAACATTATCCATACCATAACTGTTTCTGCAGGGATTTACTAACTGGCAACCATTGTGGATGGGTGTGACTTTGACAAGCATGCTTGCACAGCTGTTAAAACTATTGTTTGTCATCAGACACACCTAGGTTTAGGTCCTGAGTCTTCCCCTAGCTAATTAAGCCACAGAGGGATAAGTCACTAAATCACTCAGAGTTCTTTTATCTGTTTTTGTACA